AAGCATTCCCAATCTGAAAGAAACAGCAAAAAGCAACAGAATACGGTTTCAGTTACTATTCTTAAAATCTTGCATTACATGATATTTTCTTTGCTGTACATTAGCTAAAGTAAAATGATATACTTACAGTAGATTCCATGGATCGTTCCAAACCCAGGCTCCAAAAGTCTTCCCGAGTCAGGCAGATATTGTCTTCCTTCACTAGGAGATCTCCTGGAGGTCGGTTTTGGTCCAAAACATATTCGAGCTAAAGAGCACATCATTTGAATTTGCTTCAAAATATTATAGAAAATAATAAAGAAAAAGAATGAAAGGGAAAATACTAAATAAGGCTGGAATTACTCTCATGCTTCAGCAATTCTAAAAGCATCAACGACTTTGACTTATAAAGATTTAACGTGACTGCACAGAAATGCGCCTTACCAGACTGGACTGAAGAGGTTCCAAGTCTTTCTGCCACTTTGCTCCTGGACTGGCATACTGATGATCAATCTGCCATTCCGGAGTCCCATATGAGTGGTCCAGGAGAAACTTCCTTTTTTGACCAATGCTTTTTACATTTTTATATTTTAATTTACATTTAAACTCTATATTGTGCATTTTGCTATTTATCGTACTGTTTATTTTAATCTGTGTGTAGCGTTTTGTGACTACCTGTCTATGAAAAGCGCTTAATAAATAAACTTTACTTACTTACTTCCTCTCAGTTGGTGGATCTGATAATATGCAAATATGTGGCATGACATACAAACTTTAATCCATTTTTAACATTGAATCAAAATGTAATTGTGACTACTTATTGCATGTCATACTCTTACTTTTTGATCTGTGGTAGTTCCTCAGCCTGGACACATTTAACCCACCCACCACTTTAATCACACTCTAGATCTTGTTTTAACATATGGCATAGAAACTGAACATTTAAAAGTGTTTCCTGAAAACCCTCTCCTGTCTGATTATTTCTTGATAACATTTACATTTACAATAATTGATTACGCAGCAGTGGAGAGTGGACTTTATC